CCACGGCCGGGCAGCCTGGCTGGGGCTGCGGCACCGGCTCTGCCCCCAGCTCCACCAGCACCCTGGGTCCGGCCAGGGCTGCGTGGCAGAGCAGCAGGCACAGAGCTGGGCCTCGACCGAGTCCCTCTGCGCTAAACAAGCTGCAAAGGAGCCGTTTGGTCAACTGAGGGCTTTGGGAGGAGGAACCGCTTGTTGCAGCCGTGCCTGCGTGGGGACTCTGATGCTCTGGTTTCTCCTGGCTGTTGCGATTCCTCCCCTCCGACCTCCCAACGCTCACCGTTTGGCTGACAGAACACCTTCCTCCTCCTGGATTGTGCGTTATTCAGGTGACAAGCATCGCGCTGGACCCGGGGCCGGCTGGCTCAGCCGCAGCGGAGGATGGACTGGCTGCGAAGAGACTCGAATGGCCTCAGCGCTCGGCTCCAGGTCAGCTTTCCTTTTTAACGATGTGATGGGAAGAAGCCGCTTCGGCCCCATCAGCTCACAAATGCTGTGGGGCGGGGGGGGCTGGGATTGGTTTCGTACATGTTTAATATTCTGGGCTTGGTCCCTGCAGTGCCGCATCCCGGGAGCACGATGCCTCTGCTCCGGAGGACGGCAGCCACTGCAACCATGCTCCTGTGTACAGTTCTCACCGGGGTCTGTTTCCACTCATCGAGCCCTCCCCTTCTTTGCATCTCTTGTGACCGTACTTCTCTCGCCAGCCTTCCTTTCTTCTCTTCCTTTTTTCTTTTTCATTTTTCCTTCCCATGTAGCTTGGAAACTAAGCAAAGGGTTGGCTTACACTAACCTTCACCTGGTGATTTGTTGTACAGGACTTGGGGGGGGGAAACAAAAAAACAAACCAACAAAAAAAAATAAACTACTTTGCCATGGGTTGTGAGGCTGAGTTTTTTGTCCCTGCGTCTTCAAACACAGGGTGTTGTCTGCAAAGCTTTCACACAGGTGGAGGAGTTGCCTTGTTCTGGGGGGAGCAACGTGGCAGTGCCTGGGGTGCACACACTGGTGGGGGGGGGAGGATGCTGAAGAGCCTTTTACCAGCCCTGGCAAGTCGTGCCTGCAGAAACACGGAGGCGTAACCCCCCTTGGGAGCACGGCAAGGCCCTCTTCTTCCTGGCACCGCATCAAACCTCTTCCCTCACAAGCTCCCGAGAAGCCCCAGGGTTGCAGCTCCTACAGGCACACAAGTAACCCCAAAGGGCCCCTAACGCCGAGCAACCATCCCAAAAATCCCCCCCCTCCCCCGCTGCCGGGACATCTCCTTGCTTCACCCACACCGCAGCCGCGATTCCCTGACTTGGAGGTGCTCTGCTCCCCTCCAGGCACCCACAAGTTCATAGCCCCAGTTCCAGGGCAAACACCTACTACAAACTGGAGAATAAAACAAGATACCACCATAAATATGACAACTTTATTAAAATATACATATGAGTACAAATTAATGATTATATGGATAAAGTTCACTGTCTGTAAACAAATATATTAAAAAAGAGCACATCTTTTTTGTGATATAAAGTGCAGTTATGTTTCCATATTATATACAATATGTCAGCATTATGGGGGGGTGTAAGGACTATGGAACTAATATTTGATTATAAGATAAAATTTTCTGAAAAAGTATACATCTACATATTACAAAAAAGGGCTTGGGCTTGAGTTCATTTAGCAAACGAAAATCAGCTTCCCACCACATTAAATGCAGCTAACGAGAGTGCAGGTCTCGGGGATAAATGAGGGGAGAGGCACTAATCCCCTTTGCGAAGGAAACTTGGACTTCGCAGAGTTCACCCCTTCCCATCGTCAACCCCAGTCTTGCACAAAGGAAAGAACCCAAAGGACAAGACCTTGTGAAATACGTGCATGAGTCTGCGGTTTGGGGGAATCAAATATACACGACGTTATGTACAGCTCTGATAATGGGGGCTACCAATGTACAGCGGTAACGGCTTTGCCACCGAGCCGTGCCAGCACCCTTCCTCTACACGGAAGAGGGACGAGGAGAGTAGTTCTGCATTGGGGGGGGAACAAAAAAAAAAAAACCCCACCCCAAAAGCATCCTTAACACCAGTCTGTGGGATGTATAACGCTTACTAAATGGTATATGGAGCCCTTGCTAAGGGAGGTGCAGGGCAGGGGTGCTGGGCACTAGGAGTGGGGTGCGCGGCAGGAGCGGCAGCAGGCTTTGCTGTAGTACCAGTGACTGCACAGGTTGACTTTGATGGCCAAAGCGCAGTTGGTTCCTGCCTGGTCCTGGCAGCTGTCATCTAGGGGAGGGAAGGCAACAGGCACCGATACGGAAAAGAAAAAGAAAATAAACCATTGCAAGCCCACGAGCTCATTTCCCCCCCCGTCTACAGCCCGCCCTCAACACCACAGGCTGTGCAACACGTCACCCCGGCTGCGATTGCCACCTCCCTGGCAGAGCTCCCCTTGGAAACGCTGTGGAGCTTCTCCATAAATATCATCGTCAACCTAAGCAAAGGCGCAAGAAGGTTGACCTGTTTCATCACACCTGGCCCAGGGAGCCTTATTTAGTCCCAGCCCCAAAACTCAAGCTCTTCCCTGCAAAACAGAGCTGCCCAGGGATTGCTGGAGCCACCAAGGGAGCCTGGCTCCAAGCTGCCCCCCAGCCAAGGGCCTCCCGTGGTAGGGCACAGGGTGACCTCAACACGCAATTTCTGCTCCAAAAAGGCTGTGTGAGAAAGGGAACAGGAATCCAGCAGCGTTACGTTACAGCAGGAGCTTGGGGCAAGTGAGCTGCTGGAGAGAGGGAGGAGGGCAGAAACCTCTACTATAACGCTCTCCCAGCTCCCTTCAGAACAATATTTTGCTTCAAACCTATTGGATTTACAGTTTATATATATATATATATATTGCTTAAAATCAATAGGATGCATGAAACTAGGCTGCTCCTAGGGCAGGCACTTTGCTACAAGGCACCTCACAAGCACCGTGCCGCATCCCAGACCCTGCAGGAGAGGTCAGCTGAGGGCACCCGGTGGGCCCGGAGCCAAGCCAGGAGCTGGCCCCAAATCTGTCTCCCATTTTCATGCTTTTCTCCCACACCGTCCTTATTCCCAAATCCTATTAAAGAATTAGAACCGCGCGTTCACTGAAGATCACAGGGGCTTTGAGCCAGCAGACGAGTCAGATAACGAGATAGTTACAAATCCCGCAGGACATTTGGAGACCAAAAAATCATTAAAATCATGGCAGAGACGGAACTTCCTAGACATGAGCTGGAATCGCACAGAAGCAACACCCAAGCCAGCTCTCCAAAGCTCCCTTTTATCTTCAGGTCAGAGCACGCTTCTCTCGAGCTCTCTCCTCAATTTAACAGGGTTACCTCCAGAAACAGCCAGTGCACGGTGCCCCGTTACTTGGGCACAGAGGGAGAGCTGCCCACTTTGTGTCCTCCCTGGGATGACGATCACACTGGGGGTTGGTGGAAGCTAAGGTGCTGGGGGGGGAGCTGACTGGGGGGGATCAGTGGCAAAGCAGTGCTGGGGTGTGCTGCCGGCAGCGGGGCTCACCTGGGGGCTCCGTGGGGCAGGGCTGCAGGTCACAGGTCTGTTTGCCCACAGGTTTCACCAGCGGGTCGCAGCCCCGGACGATGTCCTTCCCTTGGTAGCACTTCACGTCCCGCATCCTCACGCCGATGCCGCAGGTTTTTGTGCACTGGGGAACGGAGAGAATGGGTGAGGCCAGACCCTGCCATGGCGGGGGTCTGTGCTAAGCCAGGACCTGCTGAAAGAGCTGTGCTCGCTGGAGACATCAGGGCAGGAGGGAACCCATTCCCTGGCTGAATGTCACGTCTCAACCCCGCACCGCTGGCCTCTTGCTCAGTCTTTGCTGCCAGCACCATCAGCTCCCTGCAGCAGCCTCTGCCCGAGGATACGTGGATGCGCTCCCGTGCCCTGCCATTCCCCCTCCTCCCGCTGCCCTTCGCAAAGGGCCACGAATGAGCCAGCCCAGCCCGTACACTGCTCCGTGGCACCAGGGTGGCCGCAGCCCCCTGAGGCCACGGGACCCCCGGCAGCACCCCAGGCATGGGGCTGCGGAGCCGGCGTCTCTGTGGGTTTGCGGAGCCGCTCCCGGGCCCAGCGCTCGC